CCGCTGAGTATAAAAAATGTTTCTTTTTTGCATGCGACATGTTTCCCTTCTCTGCTTTTTTTTCTATCAACGAGAGAAAATAGGGCCTTACAAAACTCTTGAAAAGTTCATGCTGTCCCGCAAAATATTTTATTAAATGGCTCCCTTCTCCAGCGGCAGGTTGTGGTGTTTCTCCCTACTTCAACGATCCTTTTTTATTTGTGTTTTTACAAATAGAAACCCCGAGGACTACTTCATCTGTTTCTCCAGCTTGTGGTTTTTTGTCGGGGGAGAGAGAGATACTCTAGTGTGTGCCGCTGTGGGGGAGCCAGCAGATCCTTCTTTTCATATGAAGGGTTCGATGTTAAGTATCGGAGAGCGGAGTGCTGTTCCGTTCATTTCCTCAAAAAGCTTAACCTTGCTAGTTTTGTTTTTCTGGGCCACGCACAATGTTAAATTCAAATGTCTTTCGGGGCGGGTTTAGCGGTGATCTCTTTAGTCTGTTTCCCCCAAACACAACCCAATGATAATTCCTCTATTTCAATGGACCTTTGGTGGGCTTTTGCCCACACAGAGAGGCGAGCCCCCCCCCTCAATAACAAATATTTTTTTGCCTTTCGGGGCAGAAAAATCCCCCCTCTTTGGGGCAATTCCGCTTTTTAAAACCAAAAATGGTTACCCAAGGGTATTCGTTTAGTTCGGTTTTTTGGGGGGGGGGGGGGGGGGGGGGGTATTCATATTCAGTGTACTGCGAATAGGTGCGCGTGCCAGAAGGGAGCGCGAGATTCAGTGAACTGCGAACAGGGTGAGTGATAATAATAATAATTTTAATATTTTCTAGTATATCGAAGTTAAGTTACCCAGGAGCTTTGTTGACCTAGACTTAGCTAACGCTAGCTACAGCTTGATAAATTGAGTCATTTAACACAGCTGGAGGCCAGCTAGCTAAAGCTCCGGTGGAAAATGATTAGCTAACGCTACCGTTTTTGAGGAGGTATATTTTGAGGTGAGGGGACCGACAAGCAGAAGGTAAAGTGGTCCACCGTTCTATCAATAAGCAGACCTGCCAACCTGATGGAGCATTTTGACTTCAAAGTACGCTGGTACGATTTGTCACTCTAAACTACGCAAGAATTGGTCTAAAATTAATTTTAGACTAGTTGACCAGCACACATTATATGCAATGCAATATAATACATGATGAGTATTTAACGACTTGTCCCCTATTAGTTGTTGTCAATTCCCATCCCCCCCTCGTTGGTACGCAAAAAATGATCCCTGGGACAAAACCAGTTGAAAACCCCTGCCCTAGAGGGGTAATATCCTTCTCACCTTTTTCACCCTTGACCCGTTTTCATGCCTCTATTGGTTGAGTAGCAAATGGGAATCATCAGTTCATGGCTTTTAAAGTATTTGAATTTTCTTCTTCTTGTTGTTACCCCCTCTGGGAGCATTTTTTAAGCACAAATTTGAGCCGCTTTACTCTGAACAGCCAGTATGACACCCATCGTCACTTATTGCTCGGCTATCTATAACATAGGGCTGAGCAGCATCCGCCCCCTCTCTGTCACTCAGGAGTTATTCTGCCATGTCCTTTCTCTCTCCTCAGTAGAAAGCCTTTCCCTAAAGCCTTTTATAAATCACTTCCCACTTCTTAGCTGAAATGCACTTTCATATTTTGTGTGTGTGTGTGTGTGTGTGTGTGAGAGACACGGAACAGTCTCACAAATACACTCCTTAAGAAATATTAAGGAAAGCACATGCTCTCACTCAGGCCCGGCACATTTTAGAGACTGTAAAGAAAAAGCTTATGTTGAGGAGAGAGCGAGAGGACACAACTGGTAAGGTAAAGACTGGCTACTGGATACACACAAGCATCCATTCACTACTGTGTATCGATGAAGTGTGGATTGAAGGTGCCAAGTCCCTCCTTTAAACTGCATCTGCAGATCGTTTTTAACTCAACCTAGCAGGAAAATAAATAGTGTAGCTAATGACATTAATGGTAGACTGTTCCATTTTTTAAGTGTGTCATTAAGCCGCGCCGGTGAAACAGCATGTGACCACGCCAGAGCCCAGAAACTGGCGCGCGCACACACACACACACACACACACACACAGAAAAAAATACAGCAATTAGTGATGCTATTTGCTACACCTGTGTTTGGCGAGTCAAGATGTCTGCTGTAAGAAATGTCTCACAAACGTCTCTCCCATGTGTTCGGACCCAGTGCCAGCTCTGGCCTACAGTCGGTCGCCGAGCCAGGTGCTTGCAGTTTGTTGTGGAATGCCTTTGTGTAACGGAAAGGGAAAACTGAGTAAGAGACCCGCTGTTGATTTTTTTGTGAGATTGAAGAGGGCTTTTTCATCACCACCACCGCCATTTTGACTTGTCCGAGCAGGAAAAGCTCCGGTCAAGCTAATTTGACCTCTCCCGGTAAGCCGTGTCAGCACGCACAACACCTGCAGCCTGGAACTCGCTCACACGAATGGCATCGCCCTCGGTTCTATTGTCCTCCACACCCTTTTTCATCCGGTGGCATCCCATTACAAGATGGCCCTCAGAATTGGCTTTAATTTTACTTTGAGCCTAGGCTACAGTCATAGGTAATGATTATGGCTGTCGCAATGAACGTGTTGATCTATGCGATTAATGTGGCCGAGATCAATTCGATAAAATATTTTTGTAAAGTAAAACAAACCGGCGCGGCATACAGCGGAGAACTGTGCAGAGGAATTACCCCACGTGTCAAACAGAACGGGGATGAGTGGTAAACGGCAAAGGGCTAAGCTAGCCGCTAAGGTAGTTCCATCTCAACATCTAACGTTACCCTGCGTGGCACACAGTCTGCAGAGGACCACCGCTGTGTCCCTAAAAAACTGAGGTCTGAAAACGTCCAGGCTAAATGTGACATTGTTAGCACTTCAAACACAGCCGTCAAATGATGGAGAGTTGAGAACAAAGTGCACGAGGACAACAGGAGAGTCGCTACTTCAACAGGTTCCACCGGGTGGAATTAATTCTGCCTCCAAGATGATCAAATGTGTGTAGTTTTGTGTTTAAAATACAATTACAACAACATTGTCTAAAATGCATGCTTTCTAAACAGATTACTCATTAGAGTAATTAGAGAGATGTAGTCTCGAGAAGAAAAATAAATTGCGATTAATTTGTTATTTGCCCTAGTAACTATCCAAGTATCAGAGGCAGTAGTATCAGAGGAGATTTGGGATATGAGATCACCTGTGGCTCCGCTTGTGGATCACCTGGAACAACAGCTGGTGCTTTCCTACTTCTGCCTTCCTTTTTCCCTGCCCCCTCCCTCCCTTGCTCCCTCGCCAGCCTAACATACCCCACATCTCATTTATATCTCATTACAGCCGAGCCAGCCTCTGTAACACAGAGACACATTGCAGCACTCAGTGTTCCTCTGCTCTTCCCAGAGCTAAGCTCCTCCACACACTCGGTCCGAACCGAGTCACACTGACATGCTCCTCTGGGCTCCAACCGTGAAAATAAGTGAAGGATACTTTAACTGTTAAATGACTCTCTCTCTGTGTCTCTCGGTGTCTCTCGCTTTCATTCTCTGCGTATTCTAAAGGAATTTTAAATATGTTACTCACAGGCTTACAGTTTCCACCAATGCATTTTATTTTTACTTCACTCAAGCCTAAAAACATGTGTGTACATATATTTTAAATATAGATGTGGGAAGAGATCCAGCAGTCTCTCTTACCGCCCTCTTTTTCTCGGTCTACAACCAGCGTCTAATCGGGCCTCAGAAGCTCAAGGTTATATTTGATAAATTCCGGTTTT